CTAACCTTTATCTGCCTGTCTGTCTTCAAGTTTACTCCCCCCCCCCGCCTCTGCCTAGGGAAAGCAGCTGTCATCATTCTCCTCTCCCCCTATGAGGTATGTTAAGGTTGAAAGTGTGTGAATGGTCCATAATCCCCCAGGCAGCTTTTAAAACATGATCCTGGGACCTACACACCACCAGACATTCCAACTGCCTTGCGGGGGGTGGGGAGTATGAGGTGTGGAATGGAGTGAAGTCCAATCAGCTTCCATATGCAAAAGACCTTGAAGGTTCCATATGCAACTGACATTCCAACTGCCTTGCGGGGAGGGGGGTGAGTTTGAGGTGTGGAATGCAGTGAAGTCTAATCAGCTTCCATATGCAAAGGACCTTGAAACGCTGGGCGGGACTGCACAAAGCAGCCAGTCAACCCAGCCAGCGTCTTCTGAGTGGCAGTTCTTCCGGCCTAACACTAAAGGCTGTTCTTACTCAATTATATATAAGGAGAGATACCCTTTCATGAGAGAGAAAAAGTATTCACTTTGTGCCTTCAAAGCCTTGCCACTGGGACAGCACACAAGAGTTTCACCTTTTCTACACACTAAGCGCACACCCATCCACACCCACACACCCCAGCAAAACAACTCTCCTTGCTAGCCAGAGGCTTTAGACCAATTTTTCTATCACAAACAGGGCTGCAGAATCTGTACAAGGGGGAAAGCAGGAGGGGAGGAGTTGTGGATAGATACTGTGTGCATGTAGGGATTAAGTGCTCTGATTATCTGCTAGCCTTGATTTCTAGGAGAGGAGCTGTAGCTGGGCTTTGAAGATACAAGTACTGTGTGTAGTTCTGAGCAGTGTGTGGCCAAAGAACACAGAACTCTGGTGATATCTAAAAGTTAAATTCCTAATTGTTAAGCGGAGAAAACCAGTAAAGTTTTAATGTAAATCAGAATCAGTGTTGATTTTAAAAAATGTATTCATTCAGCCTTTTCAGATGTAGGTTTTAATGTTGCGTGTCTTAATTTGGGACATACTTGCCAAGAAATCTCAACATACAGTTGCATATCTGCTGTGTAAAGCCTGCAATGCCTACAGTGGACCAAATAGTTTAGAAATGTCTGCCCATTGACTTCCCATATTTCAGGCATTGGAACAAAGCCATGGCTGCATTGCTTGCTACTCTCCTTTCTTCGGAGTGCATATTCACCCCACAGAAATCGACTCCAGTCATTTCCCGCATACGCTGCTTATGTAGTCTACAGTTAAGTAAGAATGGTTTGCAGAGATGAACAGACAGTGAAACTAGAAAGTATACAGTGGTCATGCTGCTCTTCTTGTTCTAAATGTAGAAGAGAACATTGTGGCTTGGTTTTAAGGATTGAGCTAGCAGGCTCTTAACTGTTTGCTGAAGTGAAGGGAAATGCTAAATGAATAACAGGATACAAATGAAGGGTGTGTGAATTCCTGAGGAAAGCAAACTATAAACGTGCACTCATAT